TCAAAAAAGGCATGCTCATAATTATTGGAGCATCAACACGATACGGTACAGAAACAGACTTACGAGGTGAAGTAAAGGGTGCTCAGAAGTTATTAGGACCTCACACAATCGATACCTATCCTATCCCTATGCAACAACTGGCGATGTCAGACTTTGCGATTGGAGCGATTTTGCACCAATTGCAGGAGCGACGGATCGCTTGAGCGATGCGAGCGACGGGAGATTTACACCGCCGAAACCGATAATTCGGCGCCATCAGTTCGTAAATCTCCCGTCGCTCGCATCGCTCAAGCGATCCGTCGCTCCTGCAATTGGTGCAAAATCGCTCCAATCGCAAAGTCTGACATCGGCCACTCGCATAGGGCCAACCAATGTGCGTGTGTATGTTCATCACACTAGCCTGGCTTGAAACCAATTTGACACCTTGAAATTTTGAATTGCATAGGTTACTTTCAGAGGTGAGACCGGATGTCTATTGAAGCTTTTCTTTGCTTATTTGTGATTATTTTTCTACATTGCATTCAATGTCACGGACCTAAAAGTTATGAGTGCACTTATGACGTACTTTCACGCGGACCACCAGATTTTGGTTACGATAAAACAAAGAAAAAAGGAACATCTTTGCTGGAATACCCCAAACAAGTGTGTTTTAATTCACCTCTCTGGTGGTTCCGCATTTGTTTTTTCCTTAACCTTCATACACTACAGCCTTAAAAAGATGTTTTACAGTCCGAGAAACATGTTCTCCATAGTGGACAAAAAGGCTTCAAGAAATTGAAGCTGTGTTCTACTCCATGAAAGCCTTTTATGCAGTAAACTTGACGAGAAGGTACTCAGTGGTCACTAAACACCCGCGTTAAATCTTAAGGAACCAATAAATCACCACTGCACATGCACAACTCCCTAATAAGAATAAGCACCTAGTAATAACCTTGTCTCAGAAACAGGAGATGAGAGGTAAGAATAAACCCCAAAAGATGTCAGATCTACATAGGAGAAGGAAGCACTACATGCCACATTACAAATAATCAAACATTAATATTTCTTGTACATGCGAAAATACGACAAACTAATATACTTTACTATGAGAAAACGCTTTGATCGATGCTGAAACCCAACAAAGTTCACATACAATTTAGCCAGGATAAATGAAAGAAAGGTTAATATTACGCCGGCGGAGCAGCTGCAGCCAAAGGGAGCTTCAGACAGATAAACAAATATAATAGAACCATACTCAAATAATGGATTGAGCAATATCCTTAGATGGCAGTCTTAACATAAAACTGGAATCAAAACGACCGATAGTACGCTTGAAGAGCACAGAGAATAACAGAAAAAAAACTTACGGCTCCTATTTAGAAAAAAAAAATAAAGAGATCAAGTCGAAGTCTACACGAGTACTTAGGTAAGAGTGAAGACAAGGTTCTTTGTCACAAAACTGATTACGCTGCTCAGTAATAGCTTCAAACAGTGCAACTCACTAATTACAAAACAGATAGCAAAAGATAAAGCTCAGCGAGGAACGGACGCCCGTAGGAAAGGTGTGGAAGTACAATCGAGAATAATACTAAACAAACCAAATAGTTCAAACAACTAGATTTAAAAATAATAAAAGGTTTAATCACTCAGAGTTTGATTTTCTTCTGGTAGGCAATCCCAGCGTTGATGGAGTCGTAGAGTAGCATCTTTAAAAAAATTCAAATGAGATACTCCAAATCCCATAGACAAAAACTGCTCAACAAACCTCATCACTCCGACGCTTTGTTGCCACAGAACAGCTGATGCGAGATTGATTACTTATACTAGTCGGCAGTAGAGAAGTGGACGAAGGCGGAAACTCAGGGTTCTAAAAGCATGTACCGTATGATCGGTGAAAATGACAAAATAATTCCAAAACTCACATATGTCTTGAGATCAGAGTATTTGTGATTGCCAAGAGAAAGAAATATCTGATCGCTTTCTTCGGCCAAAACAGGTTGTATGGTTGACGAATTATTCATATCACACATCGATGACAGATTGTTGATTGTAGACAGCGACGTCATAGACGAAGCATCAAACGTCGGCGACTGTACGCAATCGTACAAACTAAACCAAGCAATGAAAACAATTGAAATTTATCTACAGCCAACGGTGAATACCCAATTCATAGGATCGGAGAACAACTAGAGACGGTCGCTTCTAATTAGGTTCAGAGACGAAGGTTTCTAATACCATGAAAGTGTCAATGGGAAAAGTTAAATACTGTGGATCATATGATTAAAACACCCGTTGGTTCTACAAAAACTTAACCTCTAATCAAACCCACTATGATTGTTGAACGGGAGCTGCATCTTGGGGAGGGAACATGACAGCATAGATTAGCATCCCGAATCAGTCGAATATCACGCTTGATACTGTCAGAAGACTTAAGACATGTGTAAACAACTGACTGACCAATTAGGCAGTAACGACTCCTGCGGATCGCATGCTGAAAGAGACTCCTCCCCTCTATCCGCAGATTCGGAAACAGACGAATACAAGGAATAAAGAGTGAGCCGGGACTCGCTTGACTTATCATCCAGACGTCCGATTGCTCCTTCGCGACCTGTAACAGCAGCGGTAAGCACTGAGAAAAACCTTTACTATAAGGATGAAATTGCTCCTTTAGATGCGCCAAGAAAAAAAAGCAGTGTATTTTTGGCTGATTAACTAAAAGGAGAATTGCTGCCACTTTAACAGAATGCTCATCTTTTCTCAAACTATTCTAAAACCACTTGAGGGCATACTGGTCATCTAAAACAACCCTCTCGAATTGAATTTTTTGTTTGCTTGTTTGCTGAGTTGGGATGAAATGGTGCCCCGGTAGCGTAACTGGTAGCGCACTTGCCCGGAAAGCGAGAGGTGCGGGTTCTAGTCCCGCCTGGGGCGAAAGTTTTGTTCACAACCCAGCATTCTTGTGAAACTCTCGTGAACAACATTGGTAAGGCAGGTGTCAGAGCACGCGACACATCGCGCGATTTGCGCGAATGGCAAATGCCCAATATTGAACATTAGGAACATTGCAGATGAAACAAGTAGAACATTGAACAGCCTTGAGTCGACCATCAAGCAGAAATGGCGGCGGGATCGAGTGTTGATGGAGGCACTTGTGATTTGTCAGCCGGTCGCGCGACCGACCGCGGACTCTGACACCAGCCAAGTCTGCAGAGATATGTAATGCAACTTTTAGGATCCAGACCACATGGCAGAGGAGTTAAGACATAAAACTTGCAATCAAACACACAACATGAACACAAAAGACAACCATGCAGTTCATCCTTGCCATATTTCCACGCTCATGCTCCCTAATCTGTGGTACTGTCAACTCGTTCCGATGTCCAGTTGGTTTGCAGACTACTTGATTTTCCACAATGGTCCTGCCGCGATGGCTAGAGCACAGACGATTAGAGAACGGGTGAGGACTAAGCCTTGGAGAGGAGAGGGACCCACGAGAGAGCGCAGAGGCGGTTTAAAGGGCTGAGTTCAAGTAGTCCATCGACCATGCCCAGTTGGTCATAATTTGCGCCCGTTCGTAATGCAGCATGGAGCTGGAGTAGCATCGTAACCAACATGTGGTTCTGCGATCAATACGGATGCAATACGCATAATCGCAAGGTCGCAAACCATGACCGCGGCTTCAAAGTACAAGTCTCTAGACCGCCTATTGATCATAAAATTGCTCCAAGTATGTATTTTCGGCAGTTACTTTTCCTTTTTCAATTCATGGTCGGATTTTGCGCTGCACGTGAAGAAAAGAACTACTAAACAAGAGCATGAAAGGGTCACAAGAGAACTAAGCTATTTTCACTTCGATGGAAATGATTGTCCGCTTAAACCTAACAACCGCTTGAAAACATCACGAAAATAAAGGCATACATATACTCGATATCCGAAGTTGGGGTAGGCGTGTCACCGGAAGTGACGTGCACTTGATAGAAGCTATGTGGATAAGCTGCTTCCAACATACATCGCTGGATATCAGCAAAGCATGCTGGCAACAGCTTATCCACGCAACTTCTATCAAGTGCACGTCACTTCCGGTGACACGCCTACCCCAACTTTCGGATATCGACTGTAGGCTATTACGTACATGGGGTAATTCATCAACACGTTGCCTGTAACATATTCGCCGACTCTCCTTTCCTAGTATCTGAGCGCTACAAAATCTTCATGAAACTAGAAAGAAAGGAGACTATCGCTAGCAAAAAACACACCTGAATGCACAGTATCATACATCAGAGTATCTGTAAGTGCAGTATTGTCGGGCATCGCTGCGGAATCCAACCAAATATCGTGCTGTAACATGTTGTATTACTTAAACGATAATCTGAAGTAATAAACAAGGAATACTAACAGCGGGAATCGTGTCGTCATCGTCACTGGGTATGCTATCACCTTCTCCCAGGATTTCATCCATATTGGCATTCGGTACTTCCCGAGCAGACGAATCCGTGTCGTCTTCAAACTCACCATTCTGAAGTGATAGTTGTCAGTTTTAGTTGTCACAAGTGCAAGGAAACAATGTTATACTTCATCATACATCATCTTGAGTGTTCGTACCTGATCATATGCATTGTCATATCCCTGAATTGTGCAGCCTCTGTCCTCCTGTTCCTCATCCTCAGCCTTCTTCCGACACAGGTCATTAACAAAGTTTTTGATAAGAAGCCTAAATTAAACAACTACCAAAGGATTAGAACAATCAGACAGCAAACTTGCTTTACACATTACTATTTTCGAAAAATTATGCTCGTAGGGTCTATTCCAGTTAGGGGGCATCATGATGCAGTTTCTCGGTGAACTCGAACATTCCAGCTTTTCACGCATGTCAAGTGACTGCCCTCACCCCCACCCCCCTAGACTGGCTACACTCCCCCTGGCTCGGAGTTACCTAGCTTTCTGGAAAACTGCATCGCGATGCCCCCCTAACTGGAATAGACCCCGTTCGTAAACAGAAGGAAGTAGATGAAAGTCACCAGAATACAATCAAAAACGAATAAATTCGATACACCACGGTGAACGTTTCGAAACAAAGCGATCTGCCATGTCTGAACGTATATTATAGACGAAGTCAATGAACTGACCTTTTCCTCATTGCCACACCGCCACAACCAGCCTTTCTCTTTTCTGCCTTGTCGCTCACCTTGTCGATAGCCAAGCTGCATAGATGCTTGAACACTTCCTCGTTCAACATAGCAAATGAATCCATTCCTAGCACTTACCTACAAGTATCTAATTTTATGAAATTACCCGATTACGATAATAACTGTTAGGTTTCTGAACGCAGACGAAAAAGATGAAAGCACAAAAACGTTTGGATTCGCACGCAACTGTATAATTTCCGCAGCAAAAAAGTGAATAAACAGAGCTGTTTCTGACTGATCCAATCACATCTTTGAAGTACTTCTTTGGAGAGAAGATTTTAAGTTTGAGAAATAACAATGCGGTACTCGAGAAATTGGCTTGAGAAAAAAGGCAAGAGCTGAAGAGCGGGCGCTGAATTACGAGCCCCAATGGGTACAATTTTAGAAGTATGAGCAAAACGCTTCAAGCAGTACTGAACCAATGTGGCTAGAAGTAACCATTCTAATAGAAATAAGCTACTAGGGCGCATTCATGGTCAGACGTCCGCAGTCGCCGTCGCGGCGCGACGTGGTGTAAACTCGAAGTATTCCAGCTTCTCACAGAACATTCCAGCTTCTCACGCATGTCAAGTGACTGCCCTCACCCCCGACCCCCTGAATTGGCTACATTCCCCCTGGCTCACGAATTTCCTGTTGCCGCACGCCCCGCGCGGCGACTGCCCCCCCCCCCGAGGCACATTGCGCCTTAATCAGTTAGGCTGGTGTCAGAGTCCGCGATTCGTTTCGCGATTTTCGCGATTTTTGCGAAACCTGCGATGGGTCACAGGAGTTGGAGGTGCCCCGATGAATACTGCGAGGTGCTGTTTAATCCTGGAAATTGAAGGAAGACTGCCCGTGATTCTACTCGTTTAATGTTATGTCTATTATTCATTGAAATGCTCATTCGTTCAGGGACGGAACTGCATCTATTCTGAACTGACCATGAGGATGACCATGAGATCGCGCGGATCACAAAAATTGCAAGTGGCCCATTTGAACAATTGAAACACTGAATATGAAGCAAGTGGAAGAGAACACCTTGCAGTATTGAATGAGGCACTTGAGATTTCCGTGACCGTCGCGCAAATCGCGAAAATCGCGAAAATCGCGCAAATCGCGAAAATCGCGCAAATCGCGAAAATCGCGAAAATCGCGAAAATCGCGCAAATCGCGAAAATCGCGCAAATCGCGAAAATCGCAAATCGCGAAAATCGCGCAAATCGCGAAAATCGCGAAAATCGCGCAAATCGCGAAAATCGCGAAAATCGCGAAAATCGCGCAAATCGCGAAAATCGCGCAAAAAATCGCGGACTCTGACACCAGCCTTACGAGCGTCTAGCTTTTGCTTGCGAACGCCAAAAAAAACTGGTTGGGTAAGGAAAGCCGTCATCCTCAATGATTTTGGTCTAACAAATGGCAGTTTACAAACCCCTGCGGAAGAAATATTCGACAGGAAATAACGAACTAAATCAATTGCGCAGCTTACCATCACAGTTGGAGGAAACAGCACGATGCTCCATGGAGCTATTTTGCTACTAGATTGTTTATTTCTGAGGGAGGGAGAGGGAGGGAATGATGAGAAAAGAGGATATCCCCTCAGCACTGTTTCCGGACGACCATGTTGGCTAGACGTGTGGGAGGCATTGTCGTGCTGAAGCGCGCCACGCGCTGGACTTTTGGATCCTATTACTCTCAAAAACCAAACAATTAATTCGTACCCGACCAATCGCTTGAGTTACTGCAACTTTCAATACCATTATTTAAGGTCCAAAATTTCCAGTTCTTGATTTCAATTTCAACTTGATATCCAAAATGAATCTCAATACCACATATGTTCGCGCGTTTTCGAATTGATAAGTCGGACAGATTTCGAGTGCAACTATTTCCGTACACAGCATTTGTATCCTCCCCATTTCAGCTAAATCGGCCTTTAGATTACATCCATAATGCAGAATGTTCCAGATGTTCGTTTTTTATCGACTTGCAAGGCCATCTTTGGTGTTTGATGCAAGTATCACAAAAATTATATGCCGTATTACAGCCGGGATTTCATAAGGACTTGACAATTCTAACTTCTGATCACTCAAATGCGCTCTTCAAGGCTATCGCAGAAGGGCCCATAAAGGCACGGAACGTACTACATTTCAAAAATCTATGGAAAAACAAGCTTTGCATTGTTGTTGTGGATAAGGAGGGTGCTCGAGCACTGCATAATCTTTTTACTAACGGAGGATTTCTGGTTAACTGACAAGAATTGTTCAATAGTAGAACACACAACTCAAAACTTCGTTACAATAGCCAAAATTTCCTTCCAATCTCGCTATGAGCCAAACCATATTTGAGTGTCATAACGACTCTGAATGATGTTGGAGGCGTGGCGTACCCTGGAAAATTGATGAATACCGAATGCTTTACCTATGCCCTTTCATGAAGTTTTTGCCAATACTTCATTCAACCCTTAATTTGAAAACTTTAAGCTAGGTCATTTGACCAACACCGGAACATGGCACTAATCAACTGCCTGCAAAAAACTTCTTGACGTGAGATGACTCAGTCTCCCATCGCCTTCAGTGCAAAAATGAGAAGGACTTGTTCCCCGAAAACGTGCTTCGCTTAATGTGATCGTGGCTGAGAGAGTGACATTAATGTGCGGAGAAAAACGGAACGACTTTAAATAGATGAAGAAACATGGTCAGGTGATCACAAAACTTCTAAAAGTTAACGCCTTAAGGATAGCGCTCAAATGACTTCCTAAAAGTGTAAATTTGAGTTAACTCTGGAAATAGAAAAGATATCCTAGTTTGCAACCTTGGATAACAAATTAGCATTCATAAAGAAGGCGGATAAGATTAAATCAGTGCTGAATGCCTATTCTCTCTTTAGTTACAAGGCCAAAGAGTAACTGGCAGGTACGAGAGGGGGAGGAGGAGGTGCATATGGTGCAGTAATTCGTGCCACCTTGAGCAATCCCTTTTTAGGCAAGGGAGAGAGCGCTTCTCCGCAAAAAAGGATCGCTAAAGATGGCACGCGAACCACCTCGCCGCAAAAGGTGTGAACCAGTTTCCGTGTGCAAAAAAGGGAAATAAATGAGTATGAAAGTGAAAATGTTTTAAGTGCCTTGAGTACCCTGCAATAAGGTGCCTCCTGCACTCCAACCACTCTTGAGCCAATTTTATGAAGAGAAAATGAGAAAATGCCAGCCATACATGTTTGGAACCTACTTATTTTGAGTGGTGATGGAGGAAACGAAAGACAAT